AACATCACCAATTCGCTGTAGAGAAAGAATGATGCTACGAACATCTCCTTGGTTGTCAGTCAAGCCACTCGCGAATGCAAGACTGCCTCATCTGCTTGCGTCTGATGATTCTGCCGTGGTGATACAGCCCTGTACTCTCAGACTTGGAACCTCCACAACGTATCTACCAGACAGATCACTTTCCAGGTGTTTCGACTACCAGAAACAAGTTCCTGTGCTATTCCATGGCTCGTTATTCAACACACTGGGAACCATCCTACTGTATCTGGTGAGATCCTTCCCCACTGAATGTAACAAACATTTTCTACTCCTATGTTCCATGTTGCAAATTCTTGTACCTGAAGTGACGATAGGTAATGGTACCTTATTTAAGAGTTGTATATTTGAGACGCTAATTATAGCCGTCTTAATAACATTATTTTTTGTTGGGCAAGGCCGTGGTCTAGGCAACACTGAGTTTTCTCCGTGGCATCCCAACAATTACTCCATTCACACCCAGAAGAAGGCAATGGCAAACCACTTCTGGATCATCTGCCAAGAACGTATATGAACAGGTCCCAGTCCGAGAAAAGGATGGAAGGATCCTGTTCATATGGACCTGTCGTCAGACAGAACACTACAAATAAATAAATGTCAGAGAAAACATGAAAAATATTTTTCACTCACAGTTACACGACATTTTGGTTATGACAGCGGAGCAACATACCGAGAAACTCGTTACGGATTCGATCCCTTTGATGAAGATCTTCACAACCAAACACAAGACAGTTCACAAAAGCAAGGAGTGTTGAACGAAGAACGTCGCTCTCCGCAGTCTTCAGTTCTGATATCAGGACTTCAAATCGATACCGCAGGCCATGATACACCTAGACACAACAGAATTTTAACTGCTGTAACAGAACCACTTAATTTTCATTATACTATGCATGCTCATCTACGCATGGATCGGATAAACTGCGAAAACATTTCTATGCAAACTGACATTAAGATTCAAACACAAAATAAAAGTTATTGACTATATTTGTCAGTCAAATGTGCCACATTATACGATAACAAAAACTTTAAAATATTCTGTCAAATTTAAATTGGATCATGTGTTTATTGATTAGTGTGCATTAAACGTAATAGAAAAATTGTCAGTGGAACCACGGTTCCGGAGAATTTGACGTAAATACGTCTATACGGAAAGGAAGTTTATATATTGGCTTTATTCTAAATATTTCCTTTATACATGCTTTACAATTGAGTAAAGTTTGATTAAGACTTTGCTTATTTAACTTGAATTAGTTACGCTTAAGATGGGTCTGTGGTAGCTGAAATATGTTATAAAATTTGTACATTTTAGAATATCAATATATCGTTCAAACACCATATCTATACAAGATTTTGATCTAGGATTTGACATCAACATTAAGCCAAACGTTTTCTCCATAAATGTGACAAAGCTTTGATTTTCCTCGTTCATTAAACCAATATTAAAATCTCCTGTCAATATTA